CCCGCACCGCCCCCCCCCCGCAGGGACGCGGCTCCCACCGCCCAGCCGGCCCCAGCTGCTGCGGCCAGGCCACCGGTCCCCTCTTGGCTGGAGCGGGACGTGCCTCGGAGGCTCTCCTGGGAATGACCAGGCTGAGAGTGTCCGGTGCCAGCCGGGCCCCGCTGTGTTCGGGGACGCTGCTGGGTGTGCTGCCAAGGTTGCACCCGGGGCTTCTTGGCATCTGCCCTCGGTACGCCAAGCACCAGGCCCAGAGAGGCCCCGATGCCAAAGGCAGAGCTAAGTGGACCTCCAGTGGTGCCTGGTCACATGCCCACTCAGTCGACAAGCATTTGGGGTTTTTTTTAGAGAGACGGTCTCCCTCTGTCTCCCAGGCTGGCGTGCAGTGGCTCCATCCCAGCTCACAGCAGCCTGGACATCCTGGGCTTAAGCGATCCTCCCGCCTCGGCCTCCCAAGTAGCTGGGACGACAGGCATGCGCCACCGCACCAAGCTTCAACATGCACTCAGAGTAGGTCCTGCTTGGGCCTGAGGGACATGTTGGTGGCCCTGTTCCTGGAGCACACAAAGGGGTTTCGCCAACTGCTGTGCGGGGGGTTGCGGGGTACGCCAGCCTCGTTCCAGGCTTGAAATGCAGGGACCAGGCCAGGCCCGGTGGCTCAGCCTGTCATCCCAGAACTTTGGGAGGCCGAGGCGAGAGGATTGTCTAAGCCCGCGTGTTCGAGTCCCGCCCAGGCAACTTGGCAAGGCCTCGTCTCTACAATAAATAAAAAACCAGCCAGGCGTGGTAGCGCACGCCTATAGTTCTGGCTACTCGGAAGGCTGAGGCGGAAGGATCGCCAGAGCCCAGCAGGTCGAGGCTGTGGTGGCCAGGAGCGGCCACTGCACTCCGGTCCGGGCGACCGAGTGAGACTCCGACTCTGCATTCCAGTCTGGGTGACAGAGTGAGACTCCGACTCAAAAAAAAAAAAAAAAAAAGAAAAGAAAGAAATGCAGGGACCTTTGACTGGTAGGGAAGGAGCAGGCCTGACCCGGCCACATCCCAAGACAGGCCGAGGGCCTTGGCCCAGTGGCACCAGCTGCCCTCTCCCTGACGCCAAGCTGCCGCCTTTCTATGGCCCGTGTCTCAGAGAGCAGAAAATAGCCCCTCATCTCTGGTGTCAGGGACGGGACTGCTGGGCATGGAGGGGCGCCGGGGGACTGGAGGGGGCTTGGTGGTCCAGGTCCAGGGGTGGCATTTGAAATGTGAGCTGCCCCCCCGTGGCCGTGGGGTCTGGCCACGGTGGCTGCTGGAGAGCAAAGTGCAGGGGCTGCTCTTCACTCCTGGGGCTGACAGACCCTCCTGTGTCCCGCCGGTTGTCCCTCCCACCCCGTGTCACAAGTCAGCAGCCTCTGCCCACACGGGGCGCCAGGCCCTGCCGGCTGCAAGACCCTTTCCCCATAGCAAGCCTGGCCTGAAACCTGGTGCAGAGGCAGCCACCAGCACACAGACACTACGTGGCCAGAGATTCCACCTGGGAACAGGCCCAGGAGCTAGGAGGCCACGCTCCACACTGGGCACACAGAGTGGCCCATGACGGTTGGAAATGCACAGGGCCCAGGTGCCCATCGGCTGGCCCGTGGCGGGCTGTGAGCAGCGCACACAGTGGCACGGGTGTGTCTGTGGGACACGGGACGTGGGGTGAAAGCAGCCAGGGCCACAGGACACACCGCGAGCGTCCAGTCCCACTAGACTCAAAGTTCTAGGACAGGATGTGGACCAGGGATGGAGATCACCGCAATGGGGGGGCCGGGCATGGTGACTCACGCCTGTAACCCTAGCACTTTGGGAGTCCAAGGTGGGAGGAGCGCTTGGGGCCGGGAGTTCAAGACCAGCCTGGGCAACACAGTGACACCTTGTCTCTACAAAAAATAAACTCGTCAGGTGTGGTGGCACCTGTGGTCCCCGCTACTCGAGGCTCAGGCCGGAGGATCTGCAGTGAGCTATGACTGCACCACTGCATTCCAGCCTGGGCGACAGAGTGAGACCCGGTCCCTAAAAAATGAAACCAAACTCGAAGCCATGGGTAGGAAGGGGGGCTGAGACGGGCCTTGGGTGGAGCGACGTCTCTCTGGCCGTTTAGCGGCTTAAGACCACACACGTCTATTCTTACTCTGGAGGCCAGAGCTCCACAAAGAGCCTCACGGGCTCCAGGCAGAGCGAGTTCCGAGGCTCGGGGTCCTCCCTGCCTCTCCTTCTGCCGCCCTCTCAGGGCCGCCTTCTCGCTGGAGCCCCTGTGTGGCAGCTGCAAGGCCGTCGAGGGTGCCACAGAGGGGCCAGACCCCGTGCCAGGGACCCCAGGGGCACGTGCAGCCGTTCTGCCCGGCGTGGGTGCATGCGTCACAGCCCAGACGAGGGTTCAAGGCCCAGCCCTGTGTGCGCGCATGGCCCAAAGAGGAAGGCTCCAGGCCCCGAGCAGGGACGCAGCCCAGACAGCGGGGCAGAGCCTTGCGGGCCTTGTGGGGCGCCGGCCCTCAGCCCGGGCGCCAGCCCTGCTCTCCCACTGCAGCCCCTGCCCGTGCCCTCTGGGGGGCCGGGTCCCGGGGTCGGGTAAGGACAGCTGGCCGGAGTGCCACCAGCCTGGCGCCCGTCACCCTCTGACCCACGTCCGCTCTCTCCCCAGGGTACCGCGAGGGCTTTCTCTGGAAGCGTGGCCGGGACAACGGGCAGTTTTTGAGCCGGAAATTTGTGCTGACAGAACGAGAGGGAGCCCTGAAGTATTTCAACAGAAATGACGTGAGCGGGGGGCTGGGCATCCCCGGGCAGGGCCTGGCCTGTGGAGGCCGGGCATGAGCCTGGATGCAGCATCGTGGCATCAGCTGACCCGCCATGCCGGGAGCCGTGCTGCCGGACCCACAAGGAAGGCCCCGCCGCAGGGCCCCTCCCACTGAGCCCCTCTCCGCTGTTCCCGGAGCTGGCTCAGACCCTGCAGCGGAAAGGGGGGACGAGGGAGACCCCAGTCACTCAGCCCCTCTGGACCCCAGAAGCCCCTGCGTGGCTGGGGATGCTAGGGCAGCCGGGCCCGGGGACAGTGCCAAGGCCTTGGCCGGAGCAGTGGGTCTCCAGAGGCAGCCCAGGACTGCCAAGGCGTGAGGCCCACGGGCCGGAGCCCCCCAGCCACCACGCTTGGAGGGCCCCGGCCACACTGCGCAGCTGTGCCCTGGGGCTGGGCTGCCCCGGAGCATGCGGGTCGGGGGAGTGCGGGGGGAGGGAGCTCCGTCCTGGCCCGCCACCCGCCCTGGCCCGCCACCCAGCCCGCAAGCAAGGCAGCCTGAGGGCCCCAGGCAGCACGAGGAGAGTCAGGAAGACACCCGGCTGCCAGAGAGGGGAAGACAGAGCAACTGTGACGCGGGGCAGGCTGGAGGGGACAGAGGAGGGGGTCTGCCCAGACCCCTGGTGCCCGCCGCACAGCGCCACCTAGCGCCCCCCACCAGGAGGGAGAGCTTACCTTCCATTCACAGTGCAGGAAACCGAGGCTCAAGGAGGTTAGGTCACTGGCCCAGAGCCACCCAGCACAGCATGAAGACTGAGCATCTCCATGCCACCCTCCAGCCGGCCAAGACCGGCCCCCCCACGGCCAGCACGCAGAGTCCACTCCCCTGCCCCCTGGAGGTGGGACGTGGCCCCGTGGCGCTGAGCCCAGCCTCGCTCTCCAGGCCAAGGAGCCCAAGGCCGTCATGAAGATCGAGCACCTCAACGCCACCTTCCAGCCGGCCAAGATCGGCCACCCCCACGGCCTGCAGGTCACCTACCTGAAGGACAACAGCACCCGGAACATCTTCATCTACCACGAGGACGGGAAGGTGGGTGCAGGGCAGGGTGGGGCGGGGGCCCTGAAACTGCGTGGCCCTCTCCGGGAGGCCGGCCCCTGGCCCAGCCCGTGGTACCCGCCCCCACGGGCCCGCTGGGAGGAGCTGAAGTCCTGCGTGGAAGGGGAGGGGCGTGGCCTGGCCTCTGTCGGCTCAGCTGGGAGGCGGGGGACATCGGACGTCTCTGGAGGGCTGGGGCAGGAGGAGGGCGTCCCAGACCAGGCTCCCCCACGTCTGTCCTTTTGTCCTTGAGCCGGACTGCCGGGGCCGGCAGAGTCCCAGCCCGTGGCTTTGGTTTCTGTTTTCAAGACATGCACTTGTGCGGTCTGAAGGTGAACGGCCGCTAAGATTTGAGACACACGAGTCTGAGGCCCCCTCGCCGGCTCAGGAATTGTCCCGTGTCTGTAAATAACCCGCGAGGGCAGGGGCAGATCTGCCGATGCTGGGTGCCAGCTGACGGCTTCCTGTTGGAATCGGGCTGCGGCTCTTCCCACCGCCCCGTGCCTGTCCCGACCCCTCCCGTGTCTACTCACGTGTGCGTTCAGGGTGGGCGTCGGGTGACCCATGTGGGACGCGGCCAGCCCAGGGCGTGGAGCGAAGGGTGCAGCTGGCCTGTGCCCCAAGGTGCACAGGCCGGGTGCTCTAGAGCCGGGGGTCGTGCTTCCCCGTGGTCAGTGGCATGGGCCCCAAACGCCAGAGTGGACGCAGCTGGGCGCCCTGGCTCACTCGGGCAACTCTGCTCCCTGGCTCTGGTTCCTGGTCCTGTGTCTGCTCCCCTCCTTTGCTGGCACACACTTAGGAAACCTGGGAAGGGCCTGGGTGAGGACAGGCCGCGGGCGCCTGCCACGCCAGTCCCACCTTAGCCTTCTGGCTGAGACAGACTTCTGGGCTGGGATGGAGCTTCCCAGCCCCCCAGGAGCCGAGCCCTCACCCCGGCTCCCCTGCTGTGTGCGCTGCCCCTTCCAGCCCCTCACACTCACACGGCGAGGCCCAGACCGCTGGGTGGGTGACGGCCGGAGCCCGCTTCCTCCACCTTCACCCTCTGGAGCTCCTGGGGGTCCGCTGTTGCCCCCTTCCACTGTTCTCGCACTCACTTTTCTCTTATTTCCACTTCCCCCCTTTTTTCTCCACTTTCTGGAATTTCTTCCACTTCGTCCGGAGCTCTTGGTTCTTGGAATGCTCCCTTCTGAAACACTCCTTTTGTTTCCTAAGTGTAGTGCTTGTCTCTAAGACTACTTTAAAATTTTCATTTTCAAGTTTTTTTCCCCTCAAGAGACCCTCGAGGGTCTTGCTCTGCCACCCAGCCTGGAGTGCGGAGGTGTGATTCTGCTCACTGCAGCCTCGAACTCCTGGGCTCAAGCTGCTCCTGCCTCAGCCTCCGAAAGTGCTGAGATTACAGGCGTGAGCCACAGTGCCCGGCTGTTATCTTTAATTATTCATGTTAATGTTTGAAGCTCTCTGATCCCTGAAAAACATTCCCATCTGCCAAACTGCTGTTTCCTGTTGGTGTGATTTTCTCTGTCTTCCACGTGAGGACTTTCTGCAGACACCCTGGGACCCGGGCCAGGCGGGCTCTCCAGACCAAGCTCCCCTGCCCAGGGCAGCCCGCCCGAGCCCCACGCCTGGGGCTGTGCGGGGCTGTGCAGGGAGGAGGGCCTCAGCGTCCGGCCGCGCCGGCTGCCGCTG